CCCACACCCTGTTCACCCCTTTGCTGATTGGTTTTGTGATCACAGCTGGTATGATGTGCATCATTGTGATGGTTCTCACCTACAAATATTTACAGGTAACCATCTATTTGTTTTCTCCCTTGAGCGCCATAATGGCCAAGGCATTAATCATTAAAAGGTGATATATCTTTCTTTTTCTCCCCCAGAAACCCATGTATGAAGTGCAGTGGAAGGTTGTTGAGGAGATAAATGGAAACAATTATGTTTACATAGACCCAACACAACTTCCTTATGATCACAAATGGGAGTTTCCCAGAAACAGGTTGAGTTTTGGTCAGTACAAAACAGGGACTTTCCATGTAGCCTTTTTGGGTGGATAGAACAGTGCTTTTAGGGAACTCTGGTGGCTTCCTTTATTCTGTTCCACTGAAACAAGAAATGTTTGCTGTGAAATTTCACAGATATTGATAGGTTTGGCAGAGGGAACACTGTAGGGAAATGTCTCTAGACACATTTGTCTTAAATTCCTTTGTGGATTTTGAAACTTCACATGTCACTGCCACCTCTGACCTTGCCATTCTTCTTCCTAAAGGAAAGACTTTGGGCGCTGGCGCCTTTGGTAAAGTTGTGGAAGCCACTGCTTATGGCTTAGTTAAATCAGATGCGGCCATGACTGTTGCTGTCAAGATGCTCAAGCGTAAGTGTCTGTAGGCTAGAGGATGTGCCTAATACCAGTTTGCCAAATTTGGTTTTTTGCTAAAATAAGCTGTTTCCAATTTTAGCAAGTGCCCACTTAACAGAACGAGAGGCCCTCATGTCCGAACTCAAGGTCTTGAGTTACCTCGGAAACCATATGAACATTGTGAATCTCCTGGGAGCATGCACTGTCGGAGGTAAGGCTGTGTCCTAATGGCCTTTAATTATGTCAGGTTACCAAAAGGGGGATGTTTTAATATTATTTTGACAATGCTTTATTATAAACTCTTCACAAGATTTTTATCCAGAAATTTGTTCTCTGTCACTAGCTTTTGTTTTCCTCATTGTTCTTCAGAAGTACATTTTATCATTTCTGTGTTCTAGGAACCCTCAAAGTCTATTTATTTTGAAACGTATCATTGTTGTTGTAGACTATCACTGTCCCACCATGCAGTAGAACATGAGAACCACTTCCTTCCCTCTAAGTGTGTTTTGGTGCCCATTCCCACCCTCTCAGTACTCCACACCCTTTCCTAGCCTCTGGTGACCACCTATAGTCTGTTCTTTCCACTAATGAGTGAGAATATGATATTTGTCTTTTGTACCTGACTTATCCTGATTTGATCATTGCACATTATGTATATGTATTGCACATTGTAATACCCCATAAATATGTACAGGTATTATATGTCAATGAAAGAAGAAACATTTGGGAATTTATATTGAAAGTACAAATAAGTGGCCACATTGATGAATAATTACATGAGTTTTAAAGAAGAATGTGGATTTTACTTTTATCATCCTATAAAAACCAGCCAGGACATACACTAGTTACCGTCATATATGTTACATCAAAAGCATCATTCTCTTGAATGTCCCATCTCAACCAGCAGAATTTTCTTATCATTTTGTTTTGCTGGATCATGTTTAGATATTAAAGAGTTAATATTCATTTGCATACCATGATTTAAAATAGGCCCCTAAGTTGCCCAGTTCTCAAATATATGCCAAACGAAGCAAGCATTTCACTTCTGTAAAAATAAATTTCCAATTATGCAGTCTTAGTCAAGGCTCCATTGAGGATGTCTTTGTTTGCAGAAGGCATTTTTTTCTAAAGAAACAAAAATGTGTAAGATGAGCTGTTTGTGGAGATCTGGAGAGATCATGGGAAAGTTGACAGCTTTAGATAATGTCATAAAACCAGCCCTCACAAGTCCATAAGTGACACTTCACCACATCATGAATTGTTCATGAGATGGTTTCTACCCAAGGCAGTTAGTTGCCTGTTAGCTTCAGAACTAAGTTTTAAACATTCATAACACCAGAATTCTCTCCCACTAGTAGTGCTTAGAGCAGGGGTTGTTTCAGGACTTTTCCCATCTTCCAGTCAGGTTTCAGCTGGCTGATCCATGTGGCTGATTTTCCTACTCTGCTGCAGTCTCGGCTCTTCATTTCCATAATAGCATTCGTTATAATGGGTGGTGAAGCCCTGCCATAAACAGAAGTAAATCAAGGATTCACGTAGGAAGCTTGGTAATAGTAGAACCTTTGCAAGCCAGCACTTCTGCCTGGCTTAGCATTCATGTCCCTTAGAAATTCAGGCTGAGGCAGGATCACAAGTTTCAGTCTAGCTTGGGCAACTTGGTTGACTCAGCAAGACCCTGTCTTAAAAAAGGACTAAGGACATAATTCAGTGTGAGGTCGAAAGAAAAGAAAAGAAAGAGAGATTGATTAAGTAAAAAGGGACTTGCTTGTTAATTTTACTCTATATAATGCTGCTTTTTAAAGTGATGTTAATAGAATTGTATTGGGACAATCATTGAAGCTGAATGTTAATAGTCATGATCACCCCTGGGCATTTTTGTGGGAGACAGGATTATCTATAGTGTATAATTTCACCTCTTTTTAACCTTTTCTTATATTCTTGCAGGACCCACCCTGGTCATTACAGAATATTGTTGCTATGGTGATCTTTTGAATTTTTTGAGAAGGAAACGTGATTCATTTATTTGCTCAAAGCAGGAAGATCAGGCAGAAGCAGCACTTTATAAGAACCTTCTGCATTCAAAGGAGTCTTCCTGGTAAGACTGATTTGCATAAATAGTCAGCTGTTGACAGGCAGTTCATGGGGTCATAAGGGTTTGCAATCAAGGCTGATTCTTTAAAAAATGAACCAAGGTACTCTGAGGTGTGAAATAAGAATTATTACATTATTTAAATGTGATTAACTGTTTAGAAAGTTCAAATAGTATTCTTAAAGATTCAAAGCATGTTGAACTTAGATATTTGCTTTTTAAAAATATGTGTTTAGTTTTTTCCCCGAGCCTTAGTTCTGTGTAATCGAATGACTTCTGTACCTGTTTCTTTTATCATGGCTCCGTTCTTACATGTAGTTACATTTATACTGCTGAGCATGGTCCTGTATGAATCTTTTCCATTTTTTGAGGCAGGGTCATGCTATGTAGTTCAGGTTGGCCTTGAACTCACTATGTAGTCCAAGCTGGCCTTGAACTCGTGGTGCTCCTTCACCTTAGCCTTATGAGTGCTGGGATTGCAGCCGTGTGCCACCATGCCCAGCCCCTGTATACATATTTATAATGAGAATCTTCATAGGGAAGATGCTAAAGGCTGTCAAGTTGTTACAATAAAGTACTTTAAAACTTTTAGCCAAATAGCAAAGAGTGTTGTCCATATCTGTACATGTAAACTTCCGCCATCATGCTCTGAATTATTCCTCTACACCTGCCTCCCCTTTAGTTTATTATGCTATAGAGATTTAACTACTCCAGAACATTTGTTAAAAATTCTGAGCCTCATTTTCATCTCTTTCATCACTGATGCCATTCTAAAGTTGAATGATGTGTAAAGACCTTCAAGTTCCTTTATGAAGAATTAGTTTGGTTTATAACCAGAGTAGACAGACTCCTTCTCTGCCATACCTTGCCTGTTCTTTCTTTCTGAATGCTATTAGTATCTACCATTTAAGATTTCCTGGATTACCTGCTGTAGTGGAAATTGCAATCCTGCTCAGTCCCTCTTAAAATTTACTCTAGGAGCTAGGAATGTAGGCTCAGTGGTAAAGTACGTGCTCAGCATGTGAGAGGCCCAGGACAGAAATAAAAAAAGGAAGTAAGAATTTGAGTCTGTATCTTCTATATTTTGATATGGTAAAACTTTGTCGCTGATCACTAAACATCAGGCCCACAAGGAGACCTCAGTAAATGTTATTGATGGGCAATTACCTCTTAAAACCATTTTTCATACCTCTGGCTAAAATGTAAAATCCCAGGTGAAGCTTTATATTTTTATCTTTTTAGTCCTGTAAACTTTAGTAATTTAAAGTGATAAAATACTGTAAAAGCTACCTTTTGTTAGTTTTCAGGCCACACCATTCTGTATATGAAGACTTGAGCCCTGTTACATTATTTCCAAAACCTTGGCCCTCTATGCATTTTTTTTAACTTTCAAAAATAATGGCCTGGATTGTTCAGTCCTGTGTGGTGTTCTTTGTGCTTTGGGATCCCATATGGGTTTGGAGTCCCTAGCACACTCTGAAGGAGGTTGTTGTCATGGTGTTTCTATGCTAATCAGAAGCAGGAAGTACTAGAAATCTTGAAGAGTCTCCAGCCAAATGTTGCAGATTCAAGAGGTCCAGATGGTTCAGAAAATCATCCAAATTATTGGTGTTTATCTGAACCAAACTTTTTTTTTTAAACCTCCTTCCATCAGTCGCTACATGTTAATGATCTCTCCCTCAACATATCTTGGAAGCTCTTGTCCTTTTGTCTTGTCTCTGTGGAGGCTAATTTAGAGAGTTGGGAGTAACATGAAATAATGTCTTTGGCTCTCTGTTTCTCATTAAAAATCCACAGATCAAGAGATTGGGACTTTCTAACCTGAGTCCCCACAGAAAGAGGACATCTAGTTCCTGGGGATTGGACCCTCATATTGAATATTAAAAACTTATATTTTAAGAACGTGATTTATAAACTCATTTAGTGTAGCTTTGCTTCTCTCAAAATCAGCCCATTTTGTGACAGATTGGGCCCCTTAGCTGCCCCAACCCCCCATTCTCTAGTCAGTAATGACTTGATGGATACTACATCTCTCCCAGCAGTGACAGTACCAATGAGTACATGGACATGAAGCCTGGCGTTTCTTATGTTGTCCCAACCAAGGCAGACAAAAGGAGATCGGCAAGAATAGGTGGGTACCCATGGAGGAGTGACAGGACTTTATTTACAGAGGCTCTGTCATGCACTGTGGAATGTATGGTCATTCCCAGTAGGGTCCCTCTGTGGCAAACCCAGGGGTCAGTGCTCTTAGGGTTTCCGATTGGGTGTTTGGGGATGGAGCATATGTGTTTGTATATGAGCATCTTAATGTATGTTTGGGATTTTTAAGAATTAATTCACCATCTCTCTGCCCTAAGGAGCTTATGACCTAGTCCAGGAATGTCGATTATTGATATTAGGCTGCAACACCTTCTTTCCTCAACCCTGGGGAGGTGATTGGCTTGCAAGTTCACATCAGTCTTGGGTATTGTCATTACCACTGTGTTCTACTAATCTTTAAGGTTTCATTGCTTCCAAAATCCCTCTCTTCCTACCAGGCTCATACATAGAAAGAGATGTGACTCCCGCCATCATGGAGGATGACGAGTTGGCTCTGGACCTGGAAGACTTGCTGAGCTTTTCTTACCAGGTGGCAAAGGGCATGGCTTTCCTTGCCTCGAAGAATGTAAGTGAGAGTGCCTCTCAGGAGAGCCCCCCCTTTTAAATAAAGAACAGCATTTTAGAGCCCTAGTTAGAATGCAGAGTGTCATTTTGAAGTGTGGTAACCAAAAGCAGAGGAAATTTAGTTTCTTCATGTTCCAACTGCTGTCTCTTTGGAATTCCTGTTCTAATTTATAAGCTTTAAAGTGCAAACCTGTCTAAATGAGCTTTCCATGAATATTCTTTTATATGCAGTGAATTCATTTACAACTTTTGGCTTTAGGATATCTGATATGCTTCTAGAAAAATAGATAATCATTTTATCAGCAAAAACAGGCATGTACCTCATAGTAGCTATGCCTGGTGAAGCATCCAGTTGGGTTTTATTGATGTTAGACCCTAAATATTACATGTATGGCTTATGAAATATCAGGAAGTGGGGGTCATGGAGAATAATAAGGGAGAAAGGATGGGAATATGAAGAAAATGATGAAACCAAAATAAGGAATATGGATTCTGGAAGGATGAGAGGAATTCTCTAGAACTAACTGAATTCAGTAGACTAACTGAAGTGAATGAGGTCACACTTCCACCCTTAAGGTGGTGACATTTCCAAACAATTACCAAACCAAAACAGAATATAGGATGGCTGAAATAAAGACCATTTTCCTGTGTCCTTGGGAGATGTCAGATTGAAGTTGTGAAGACATTTTAGGAACTCTCTGAAAGAACACTCAAAGAGATGCATGCAAAATAAATTTTCATTGGAAAAAACCCCAATTTGACTATTTATATTTTCCTATGAATGAAAGCATTGTTGAGGAAGGTGGGCATCATTTATTAGAATTGATTTTGAAAGCGATTATAGTAATTAGGGCCCTGATGATGTGAAACACAAAATGTGAATGTCATTCAAGGCCCAATTTTGATTTTTATTTTTGGTGTTCTGAGTACTTTAAACGTAAGACAAAAGTTTTGGGTTTTTTATCATATAAGCAGCATTTTCAGAATTAAAAATACTTTTCATTCGTTGAAAGTAAAAATGAATTTAAATGGTTTTCTTTTCTCCCTCTACCTAATAGTGTATTCACAGAGACTTGGCAGCCAGAAATATCCTCCTTACTCATGGTCGAATCACAAAGATTTGTGATTTTGGTCTAGCCAGAGATATCAAGAA